ATATATAAATATATATTATTAATAAAAATAAAAAGTAATATTTATTATTATGTAATATTCTCGCTCCTCTAAAGTTTGTTATCTTATTTTAATTATATCTTGTATATATAGTAACTAGTACAATCAAAATTATTATAATAAATAATAAAAAAAATATTTAAAAACTTCATTGATGTTTAAATAGTATTAGTTTTGTATACTTTTTTATGATTATTTTTTTAGACTTGATTATATTGGAAGGCTTGTCATAGATAAGCTTGTCTATGTTGTCATCACACCCATCAACATAATCGACGCATGCGTATTGCAATAAAATGTACAGACAAGGATAGATAGATGTTGAGGACAACGGCAAGTCAGCTATGCCCCTTCCAGTATATATGTTCTAAGGTTCTTACACATTGGAAGGAAGTAGGTGGCGCTCTATTAATTTTTTTGTGCCCGCTATTTTTTCTTATCATCACTGAATTGTTTCAACACAAAATTCAGTAATAAAAAATGTTTGCCTATGTTTTTCCTACAAAAAAGACTCATTGTCAGTTCATTTTTTGCATATCTTCACCAGGTTTCGAGTCACTGTTTAAGTTGTCCTATACCCCAAGTGTCGTCGGTATTCTAATCACACTACCCTGTGCTACCCGGCGACACTGAGTACTGCAATTACACTGCATCTTCTTTGATTTTCACCAAATCTTTCGTTTCTGGCAATTTTAAACAAAACGGTTTTTTTCAAAACCATTTTTTTTTTGCTGTTAAATGTTTTTTACAGGGCAGACTTTTAGCTTTTGATTGCTTTTTTTAAAAATGATATACGATGATTGGTTCGGCTTTTATAGGCGGTCAAAGTGTTTAGGACGGTTTTTCCTTTGCTACTGAATAACTCGATGAAAAAAAATCGTGGAATCATTCCTAAAAAAGCAAATTGAAGAGGAAAGTCTATGTTTTACAACGCAATAAACAAAATTTTGTTCCGATTTGTTTTGTACTCTGTGTGCTTTGCCAAATTTGAAGAAAAATTTTGCAATTTGTCGGGAGCCGCTTTTTAATATCATAACTTTGAAACCAATAACCAATTTTTTAAATCTGCAAAAAGATTCTGAAGGTTGAAACTTTAAAATGCTTTTCGTGTCATCAAAATCGGATCATTTTCAACAAAGTTATAACCAGTTGAAAATGGCCTTTATTTTGCAGAAAAAAAAGTGATCCTCTAATTTTGGTGCGGAGTGTATATTTGTAATAACAATAATAGTAATTATTGGTCATATTATTAAGAGGATAGAATTATTGTACCTGTTGTTGTATCCTCTCGTTCCAATAAGACATATAAGCTGCTACGAACCAATCACCGGACTGCGGTCCATAAATCGGAACAATGGTTGCGTTATTTTGTTCGTAAATTGTAGTAGCAGTGACTATGATACTATCATCATGTGTAACATACATATTTGTTAAAAACGTTCTGTTATTTGTAGATATTATTGGATAACTACCAAATTTCAAGTGTCTGAAAGTTAATTCAAAGGTTTAAGTATATTTTAAGTATATTTTTCTGCATTTTTAAATTAAAATAATTGATCCCGAGTCGAAATTTAAAACCTACTATAAACCTCATACATGGTTATTTGTGCCTCTAATAATGTTCCTTGACCTACAAGTTCTATCTTGAAAGTGTTATGTCTTTTTTGACCTTTCTTTAATCTTGTTGTCCTAGAAAACCCTTATTTTTATTGATGTTAAATATACAATTCCTACTTTCGTTCTTACAACTCTTACCTCTTTTGAATCTCCAAATCTTATCGAAATTTCTAGCAATAAAAATATTAATATTCAATCTATAATTGAGTTCAATTTCTATTATTTCAGATTAATATAATAAATGTTATAATATAAATAATAACAAATAAATAGTAAAAAATATTTTTAAAAATTAAGTGCAACTCAGTATTATATTTAGTATTATAAATAACTAAAAATTTATTCGAATAAACAAAAAACAATTAAAATTTTATTTAATATTTTATTACATATTTGATCTATAATTCGAAATTATTTAATATTCTAT